GGTGGTGGGCGGGCACGGTGGTCCCTCTCCCCGTCTCAGCCCCTGTGTGAGGGCTGGTGGTGGGCGGGCACGGTGGTCCCTCTCCCCGTCTCAGCACCCGTGTGAGGGCAACGTTGGCAGTGGCAGATGCGAGAGCTGTCTCTTTCGTGCATTCCAGGCGGCAAAGCTAGCAAAGATGAGGATCCCACCCAGCAAGATGTTCCTATCAGAGAGCGACAAATACTCCAAGTTTGATGACACTGTGAGAGTTACTTTTCTTCTTTAGGGCTCTGTGGGACCACGTTAGGCTGGGGTGGCGGGAACCACCAGCTGGGGCGGGCAGAGTCGCATTTGAGAGTTCAAGGAAGGCAGCTCCACTGAGGCCGCTTTAGGCTCTGTGCTCCCATGACACGCCCAGCCCCCTGCCCAAGGAGCCCAGAGCGGCCCCCGCCCGAGGTGCCCAGGCTGCCCCAGGGCTGACAGCCATCCACGCTCCCCTCCTCCCTCCCGGGGCTGACGGCCATCCGTGCCCCCTCCTAGGGCTGACTGCCTGTGGTGAAATGAGTTCCGTCTCTACCCCCCAGGGCCTGCCCACGCATGACGCCGAGGGCAAGGAGCTGAGCAAAGGCCAGGCCAAGAAGCTGAAGAAGCTCTTTGAGGCTCAGGAGAAGCTCCACCAGGAGTACCTGCAGACGGTGCAGAACGGAAGCGTGCAGTGAGCGGGTGGGGGACTCGCGTGCCACGCCTCGGTGGTGACAGGCCTGTGCGTCACCATGTTTACGCTCGTCCTCGAGCCCTAAGTTAAGGACCTGCCCCAGTGGACCCATATCCCCCTGGCTTGGAGACGTGGGTAATAAATTCTTCTAAATGCTCAGCCCGACCCTCTCTGCCGTCCGCCCTGCCCGCTCAGCCCTCCTCGGGCCTGCGGCCTGCTGCATCGTCTGGTCAGCAGGTCACTGTGGCCGTCCGGGCCCAGGGACTCCTCTCCCGCGCTGGTGGCTGTCGGCTAATCCCTGGTGTCTGGGCGCTTTGGGAGGCATTCTGGCAGGAAAAAGACAGGCTCAGACTGCAGAACCTGCTGGCGCCCCAAACAAAAGCTGCTTGTCTCCCTCTCTGCTGCTCATGACTAAATCCGAGTCAGCATTAGGGTGGCAGCAAAGGGCGGCTCAGCAGGACAGCCCCTGGCGAGCTGCCCAGGACCACCGTGAGCTGCACGGGCAGCGGTCGGGACGAGGGTGCGCACGTTCCCGGGGCTGGGGGCACGTCCTCACCATGCTGCTCACACGCTCTTACCCGCCTGGGTTAAGAATCCCCACCCCCACCTGGACTGAGGTTGGTGTGCCTGTGAGAGCTGGGTGCCAGGCAGGACGCCCTCGGGACAAGGATCACATGGGATCACGTCACCGTTGTGGGCCGGCTGGTTCTGGAAGCACCCTTGGCTCTCATATGTGGAGGACGGAATCGGGAAGCAACACGACCCTGGGGCACGATTCGGCGTCTCTGGTGTGGCTGCAGCTGCCCTCTGTCCGCGCACCCCGCTTGTGGGGCACTGTCCTTGTAGGACACCGACGGGCGTGCGAGCGGGAGAGGCTGCGTATGAGGAGCCAGAAAGGGACCTCCTTGGTGCCTGTCGGTGGGCTTGGGGATGCCCACACCACACACACAGCACAGTGCTGTCTCTGTGCCAAAAAAGTCACAAAACCAGCGAGGAAAAAGTCCCTGAAACAGCAAACCAGCCTTGTCCTGGCAGCCTGTTGCCGCGAAACAAACCACCCGAATACTGAGGGGCTGAAAACAGCCACCTTCCTACTGACAACTCTCGCGAGCCTGGAGTCACCTGGGTGCGACCGGCGGGTCTGGCTCAGGGCCTCGCAGGCGGTCACCATCGTTCAGGCTGGCGCTGGAGTCGCCCAAAGGTGGGCACGCCCCACCTGAGCCTCCTGGCCATGTAGCGCCTCCTGCATGGTGGCGTCAGGGAAGCAGAGCTGCTTGCACTGCAGCCCGGAGCTCTAGCAGCACGTGTCCGGGAGAAAGAGCAGGCAGAGGCTGTGTGGCCTTTAGGGTCTGACCTCGTAGGTCACAGAGCATGACTTCCACCTGACTGTTCGCAGAAGCCGTCACAAAGCCCACCCACGTGTGAGAGGAGGTGACCCCGACATACCTGTAGGGGGGAGTCTGAGGCTCCGGAATGGGGGTGGGACTGGGAGCAGGGCTGCAGCTGTGTGGGAAAGCAGCTTGGCCAGGAGACGAGGTCACGCTGGTAACCCACCCTCACAGAAGAGCAGGCTGCCCTGAGGGCGTGGCACGGGCTCCTACCTTCAGCGTCTGTGGATCGTAAGGTCAGAAATGTGCACACAAGGTCCCTGGGTGGTACACACGGTTTGCACTGGTAACCAAAAGGTTGGTGGTTCAAATCCACCCAGCAGCTCCGTGGAAGAAACAGGCCAAACAATCTGCTTCCGTAAAGATGATGGCCAAGAAGATCCTGTGGAACCTTTCTACTCTGCACCCATGGGGTCTCCCGAGTCACAAGTCAGCATCGTCAACAACAGAAAGTGTGCACGGGATCAAACGTCATTCAGTAGTTTTATTGTTAGTAGTAATGTCGGAATTGCGGTGTTCCAATGGTACGTTGTGGGACAAAGCAAATAAGTCTGTTGGTGTCGGCCATCAAGACTTTAACGTAAGCGAAGAAATACAAGTATAAAGACGTGAAGAACACTATACTGTTAAATACGAACTGAAAAACACAGTACGAGCTCACGGTTCTTAAAAAACATATATTTCCTGGCTGTGTCCACCAAAAGGGGGGAGAGGCGAGGACGCCCCAGTGGCCCTCAGCACCCCAAGTGCCCAGATTCAAGGCTTTAGATACGTTCCTTCCCTACAGGAGGCTCCTTCCAGGTATGGGTCAGGGGCAGTACAGGGGGACCCGGAGCCATCCTGTGTCCGGGAAGGGGACAGTACAGGGAGACCCGGAGCCATCCTGTAGCCGGGAAAGG